ACTGGGGCTGGACACGTGATGCTTATAAACGACAACTAATGGACGGAAGTCGTTAGTGACCAAATTCGTTAAAGTGTCAAACGCACTGCAGGAAGAGCTACTCGATGATCAGAGTTCTTCATGGAAACCCATTCAGAAAGTTGTGATGCTCATCAAGTTTTTAAAACGAGCAAAACAACTGGGCTGCTCTTGCAAGCGACAGGAAAAATTGGAAGATTTAGTGGCGTCCGTTCGAGTGTCTCGACGATCAACGGGACGACAGGTGATGCAGGTGATACTCACGCTTTCTCATCTCAATCGAGTCACTTCGTTGTCTACTGCAGTGCTGCAGTATACAGCTTTGACGATATGGTGTTGTCCTCTCGAACCTGAAATAAAACTTTTATAAGGAGTTCTGCTTAGTCAGCTAGTTGTGCATCATGCTACGTTCATGATATGAGCAACAAGATAAACTTCGTGAACAGGTTGTAGAGTATACTCAACAAGCATGTTGGATGACGGATACGATGATTCGTACGGTCACCCTTCTAGGGCAGAATGGTCATGCGGGAGATTCTCTAGCACGAATTTTTCCTTTTGAAGGTAGGATGTAATGTAAACTAAGTGCAATTTGTGGCTTCCAGTGTTGGCGCAGGTATTATCATTTCTGAAGAGGTGCATGCTTTCATGCTTTCTACAATAATGCGGACCTCAGAGCGAATAATTTCCAGTGGTTTTCTGCAGCGGAAATGTCTGAGCCCAACACGGGTGTGGAGTGGAAAAGATTGATACAGAGCTATTTCGTTATACACTCCACATCATGGAGGAAAGCTTTAGAGGTACCTTTCTCGTTAATCAGAGCTCACAGCGAAACACTATCCTCGCACAAAAATCGCGATGGCACTTTTTCAGACTGGTTCTTTTTCTTAACTCTTTTATTTACTGCCTTTTTTTTCTTCTTAATGGCAGGTTATGTTGCGAAATATAACTCGTATGAAATGCTGAGATATTTGCAAAACTCCGGACCACAAGTGTATGCAGTGGAGAACGAACACGCGCTGTTGTCCTTACCGGGGAGCAGCGCACTTCACCACTACACCATCCGGGTCCTTCGCTTTGCTTGTCTCTCAGCTAGTTCTATCGATCTTTTTGCCACCCGTCAACAGGATTGATCTGGGGAGCCAATATCGGCATTGAACCCAGTTAAGCTGACGCTTAGTTATAATCACAATCTGAACTAGCTGAGAGACATGCAAAACGAAGGACCCGGATGGTGTAGTGGTGAAGTGCGCTGCTCCCCGGTAAGGACAACAGCGCGTGTTCGTTCTCCACTGCATACACCTGTAGTCCGGAGTTTTGCAAATATCTCAGCATTTCATACGGGTTCTTTTTCTGTTGCTTCTAGCAGCTTCTTTTTCTTGCATCGATGTAGATCTTTTCGAAAAACTCTTCTCAGCAACTAGGATTTATTACTAGCCATTTGTTAAACGCGTTGCCCTACGATCAAAGTTTAGTTTTTTCTCTTCTCAAGCAGCTCCTTAGTGGTTATGGTGATATGATTTGATGTTCTTGCTTGAGGAACCTAGGCGAATTTGATACAATTTTTATGCTCTTTGACAAGCGCTATGTGATTTTTGGTCAGGTTTCTTTTAACCAACCAGTCACGTTTGGAAAGGATTTTCGTTCTTGTCATGCACAGTTTGAATTTTTTTATTGGTGGATGATACGAATTTTTCACCGGCTTTCGGGCGGATTGAATTTCCACAAAGAGGCAGACCTAGTTTAGAATAATAGGACTACCGATGTGTCAAGCAGGCATTCCCTTCTATTTACCCGAATATAGTCGATATCTGCATGACTCGCGTCGTTAAGAACCTCCCATGTCCAGCGGAGGGTTTCCTTCTTCTCAAAAAACCAATTTTGACAGAAAAGGCGTGTTGCAGGCAGGGGTCCTTTAAGACGGTTTCAATTCTCATTTTGTCCTTCTAATTCAAGATTTCCGGCTTTGTATTCGCACTCGTTACCCTTTCCTACTCTGACGTTGAAGTCTCCGACAATGATTTTTTACACGATTTATCGTTGTGGATAACTTTCTCCATCTGGTAGGAGGACGCATCTAATTCGTACTCATCTTGTAAATCTGTCTATGAGTAGTAATTTATTTTAGGTATTTTTACATTGTGTTGGCTGAAGAAAGTGGACTCCTTATGCGAAAAGAAAGATCTTGTACGAGTCGACAGGACGAGCAATGGAAGAGTAAACGACAGAGTTTAAGTCATCGACTATTCGTGAAAGTACCTTTTCTTTGCGAATGAAAAGTGTATCTTTGTTTAGTTGGCTTATATCGGTTTTCTTTCCCTCTGTTTCTGGTTGGAAATCACATGGAATTTCATAATATTTGCATATTCAAGAAGATTGTGAAAATCGGCGACTGAGAAAAGTGTTCTGGTATAATGTGTGCAGTGTAAGAAGCAATCTTCAGGGTATGTTGCGTGTATGTTCGTCAGACGCAGTTCCAGTGACCTCCTGCGTAATCCGTTATTTTGTGCCTCTCATAGGTTGTGTCAACACCCGAGTCATAGACAGGAGTTCCTGTTGTGCGGAGTACTGAGGGTGTCCTATTACTGGTTGGATAATTTGATCTTTCCTGGAGTCTTGACTTAACCCATAAAGGGTGCTTTTTGGTATTCACCATGATATGAATCTGAGAAAAGTGTTTTCTCTGCAAAATTTCTTCTGTTCGGTCTTCCTACTATACGATTCAGGCGCGATATTAAAATCGAAGTCAAAATTGTAAGCAGAAATTCAAAAATGATCGACCGCTCATAGACGATCTTGGGCAGAAAAATCCTGTTATGCTTTCGTGCAATATGAGCAGTTAATGAGAAATTGCGTGATTTTAAATTTTCTTGTTCTGGCATTTTTATGCGAACGTAGAGCGACCTACTGCCTTCGTCAATATATTCTCTACCGTATGCCTTTAAAAATCGAGATGTACTGCACCAGAACGGAAATGCAATAGCGATCGCCGCCGTTGTAGCAATTAGACTGTTGCGTTACATAGAGACGGCGGTACATGCGCTTTACGAACTAAATCATACCGAAACGTTCGTTCGAAGTTTGACTGCTGTGGCACCTAGTGAAACGATTCCTTCCTCAGCGCTGTTCCTGTGCAAACTGCCAACCATACTAGGAAGTCCTGTTTTTTCGCAAGTGTTTCCTTTGTGTGTAAATGATGATCAAGAAATAATAAACATGTGGGCTTTTAATACGCTTCTTTCTTGCAGGTTTTTTAAAAAAGTAGCTGCTTTGAGCAATTTTTTTCTTAGTTCACAAGTTTCTTTGTTTTCTTAGAGTGAATCCGATGGCCAAAAAATCGTCGTCATGCCTACTTTAAGACACTGAACGGAGGCTAAGAAATATTCTGCTGGAACATCTCTTAATAACTCAAAAGACCGACTTTCTATAAACCTCGGCATAGACAGTTGATATATTTATTTATATGATCTTATAAACTGATCTTGTTTAGCTGTTGCGAGGTTGGTATAGGTCTTCGCTGTCGTTGTCGTTGTTGTTGTTGTTGTTGTTGTTGTTGTTGTTGTTGTTGTTGTTGTTGTTGTTGTTGTCGTTGTTGTTGTTGTTGGTCGATGGTTGATGTTTCGGCGATTTCGCCTTCCTCAGAGCCGTGATGTTACGAGTGCTACAGTGGAACAGTGGCCTAATCACTAAAGGATTCTTATATAAAATATGCCCAGACTCTGAGGAAGGCGAAATCGCCGAATCATCGGCCATCGACCAACAACACCAACAACAACGACAACGACAACGAAGACCTATGCCAACCTCGCATCAGCTAAAAGGATCAGTTTATGAGATCATATAAATAAATATAACAACTATCTATGCCGAGGTTTATAAAAAGTCGGTCTTTTGAGATAAGAAATATTTCATCCATGCTCGCGATAGCACTTTCAGCTGGTCGTCTTTCCTTAGTTAGATTTCTAACCAGCGGCAAATGTTTCGAAACAGCTCATAGTGTAAATAACTGCCTTACTCTTTGTAGGACGTGGCATAAAGTTTTTGGTAAGATCTGCGCTTACAAAAAAGTTCTTTTTGGACTTGCGTGAAGAACGCATAGAAGAGGATTTTAAACATTGAATATAAGATTTAAAAAAGTATTGCGGTAAAAATTGCAGCGGTAGAACCAAGGCCGTAAATAGAAATGAAAACGTTGGATCAAAAATAATTTTGAGGTATAGTGGATGAACTAAAAAAACATGAAAAGTGGGGAAATTGGACGGATATATCACAACCACACGTCACCATTCTCGCATCATCTTGAGTCAATTTTTCAACACAAGGTGGGCACATTTCTAGCTTGAACTCTGCGCTAATGATCATCTCATAGGTCGCAAAGCAGCCTGCATTAATGAATCTTGCGCATGTTGCTAAGGAAGGCTAATTTTGGAATTTTGCGAAAAATGAGCGCTTCCAGCGCAGTGGTTTGAGGTGCCTTTCAGTACAAGGCGGCCGCTGATTTGACCCCGTGCACCAGAACCACTAAAGTTTTCTTGCCGCTGAACTGGTACCAGATTTGTCTAGGAGAATAGCAGCATTGATATAACGCACCAAAGGTCACTGCAAGTCATTGCATTGGCAAGTTGTGCATGTAATCACCTCTAACGATCTTAATTATCTTAATCTGATCCTGATCTTAATTATGTCGAAATCATGAAGCATCGAGGGCTGAACTGTATTCTTTATACTTTATTGAGATTATGTTTAACAAAGCCTTTGCACAATAGTTCTTATATTTACGGTTTGTGTTAAAGCATTTGGCCTTTTAACAAAACTCTTTCTAAATTCTGAAGAACGTGAGATAAGTTCAAACAGCTATTGTGAAATGGATATTGTAATAACATCGTCATATCTTCAAGTTATAAAAGTCACCTTACTTTAGTAAAATCTTGTTTAACACCCAGGCACTGTCTAATAGTCTAGCCGAATCCAAAGATTCTTCGATGTTATCACGGCACTTCATCATTGATTGTTCTGGTTTAACCTTCGTGGATTGTATGGGTGTTAGCACCTTGAAAGAGGTACAGTTAAGCCACATATTTGAAATAAACACTTTCATGAAGTTAGAGTTTAATCAGTGCAAAATAAGAATATCGTTTTCTTTCAGGTGTATTCTGAGATGAGAAGTCGAGGAATTTTAGTTTATTTTGCAGCAGCTAAAGGTAGGCTTAGCATTGCCACCAAAATGAATATTTTGCCGAAATTTCGCTATGCAGCTGCTGTACGTGAGCTTTTTGAATCGAGCGGCTTCTACTCGTTTGTGGCTAAAGAGAACTTCTATCCAACTATGAGAGATGCCGTCGCAATCGCTCGGACAAGGCAACAAGCGTAATTTTTACTGCTGATTTGTGAAATTGTGGCTGACTTTGGGATACTTTATTCATGGGATTTCATAGTTATTAAGAGGATTTCAGGGAAAATTCCTTCGACGAAATAAAACATGGCATATGTTGTTTAACAGTGACATGATAGTAGTGTAGGGACAATTTCGTAATACTAAGACTTCTCAAAATGACCATATATTCAAAGCAACAGACACCGTACAGTAAACGTTACCACAACAGCGATTATGGAAAATAAGATTTTACCGTATTTGCTTTCAAGAATCCTGAAATTCTTTACTTATTATAAAAGTACCCTTTCCAGACAAGGTGATAGCAACTCATCGTACATGCCCGAGCACGATCGTTTCTCCGAGATCATCAGTTCACATCCAATGCATTGATCTGCTACTCTATATTTTTACAATAAAAATATTTCTTTCTGAAGATGTTCATTTGCTTGCTGGTATCTATCACTTGTATCATATTCTTCTCGCAGATCTTCAACTCACTTGAGTGGGCCCCTGAGAAGTACTTGTTCTTCACATCGAATGCAAAAGAAGACAAGTGGGTTTAATCCATTGGTAAGACATGAAGAGCATTCAGGATAATTTTTGCTAAAAAAAGATTATCGAGTTAGCAGATTTCCATAAGCAGTGCCCTTAGCATTTCGTGGAAGTCGGTTACTCTCGGGTCGTGTTTACAGGTTGTCGCCATGAAGCTTAATTTCTCCGGCTCTTCCAGCTTTCTAAATCAAGGCGTATGCCAACGTATTTCTGAATTTCTCCACTGATGCATATTCGAAATTCAAGTCTCGCTGTAACCTCTGTGACATGAGATAGTGTAACATTACCTTCTCAATGGTGCGTTCGAAAATGCTGAGTGATCAGTCATTTTGCTAGCACTGTGTCCATGTTTGCTATACGCACGTCTGAGCAGGAAGAATCACGGAGTAGAAAGGTAGGGAGTGGGAAGGGGCAATTGGTTCGCATATTACTAAAATCGATCACACCACTCTTTTCTTTATATTTTTAAAGCATTTGTGAACTCCTAAGTCGGTTATTGGCTGGTGCTCAGTGCCGCTGCGCGGTTGCTCGTCGTGCTGATTTCTCATTCCAAAAAATACATGACTGGAGCACTAGGTGAGCATTGTTCCGTTGAGGGTGAATAAGGCATCATAATTAAATCAGTGTCTCACCAAGATCGTCTTCTCGAAATACAACCGAAGAACAAACACTCGTTAGGAGTTGCCGTAACCTACCAACATTTGCTCCGCTTTAGTAAATGCTTGGTGTTATAACAACGATATCCTCAGCAAAGCGAAGTTAATATAATTACAGCGGCTTTCATCGCCATACTATTTCGTTCTAGTCTTCCTGCATATTTTTAAAAGTAGCCGTAAAAAATTTTGGAGTTGTGATATCGCCTTGTTGTTTAGGCCATAAATTTTCAATACTATGTTGACCCATTTCAGGCCTAGGCTACGCAGAGCTTCCATGACAACGATTGTTATACAACAACACGGGTCTGCTGGCATTCCGTATCTTGACCACATCGCTTTTCTAGGGACAGCAGGTAACAAGCCGAGAATCGCCGATACTACGCATGTTCTCTGATATCACAAGTGCAAAGAACTACAGAAGAGATCTGAGTAGAAGTCGTGTGTTTACTTCACATCTCACATGAATGCTGTGAACATCGTTTAGGTGCTGGAGAGCAATTGCTCTGATTCTGCAATGATCACCTTGCTTACTTGGATACCTGGATGGTCCGTCCTCAGGAGTTGTATGGACTCCAGCATATTAGCCTTTTGTTTCATTCCCCTGCAATCGTCGTCTATGGCAGTTTTGTTCGAGCAAGCTAGCTCGTGCGACTTTGTACCGCGTTCTGTAAAATAACTGCAGCTGAGGGTACAGTTAATTAACTTTGTTTGCGAACACGTCCACACAACGTGTAGGTGACAGTCCTAGGGTACGTTTGCATTCTCGTGGTGTCCACTTTACAGTTCTTTTCGTCTGTCTGCCGTCTGTTCTGCTCATTATGTGACAGGCCCATCTATGTTTCGCTACCGATATATATTCTAATGGATCTCGAAGATGTTGAGAGTGCCGGTTATATTTCGGAAAACATCGCTCAAGCGCTCTGTGTGTAGCGTGGAGTGTTCTTGATGTGGTTGAAGTATCAGCCCACGTTCCTGCAGCATAACAGATCGCTAGGAAGGCCGTTGAATCGAAGAGGTGAGCGCGGATTTTCGGGCCCTTCAGTTAATCGGTGGCTTCTTTCAGAGGCTCGAATGTGGCTCAGGCTGCTCTCCTTCTTATCTCTAGTTTTCTTTTTATGTTATTTTTCACGCTCATAGATGGCCCAAGGTGTACTCACCAGGTGGTCTCCGCAATCAGAGCGCCATCCAATTCAATTTTCTTTGCTTCGCACCATGGATTTTTTATGAACTGGGTCTTCTTGCGATTTATGAGTAGTCCGATATCTTTTCCTGCTAAGTAGGGCTTGTTGATCATCGTCTCTACTTCGTTGCTACTTTTGAAAAGATGACGATGTCGTCGACAAAACGAAAGATTGATAGGAATATTCCACCAATAACTATGCCTTTCTCGTCCCAATCGAATGACTTCATTATTCACTGCAGTGCGGCGCTGAACAGCTTTGGCAATATTGTGTCGTCCTGTCGAACCCCTTTTCCTGTGGTCATGGTAAGAAAACAATGGAAAAGCTGTATTTTTGTGCTGCAGTTCCGATAATAGTCAGATAGGGCTCTTATGTAGGACGGGTTCACTTCTTGGTCGACAAGCCCTTATGTGATTAAATTTGTTTCGACACTGTCAAACGCTTTTACATTCATAATCGACAAAGGTCAGGACTAGAGGCAAGTGGTATTCCCGACAAACTTCGATGACCCTGGACACGGTTTGGATGTGGTCCATGCAGCAAAATCTATTTCGAAATCCTGCTTGCTTGACTGGTTGGGCCTTTATCCAGTGTCCTTGATATGCGCAATATGATAATATTCGTGAAGAGCTTGTAGAGAACACTCAACAAGCACATCGGGCGATTGTTACGGAGATTTCATCGGTCACCCTTGTCAGGTCAGACGACGGTGAGTGAGGTACTCCACCGGTATAGAATTTTTTCCTTTTGGGGTAAGCTCCATATAGTTTGCGAGAAGAACATGCAAATTGCTGCTCCCAGCTCTAAGAAATTCGACAGTGATATTATCGGGCCCTAAATCTGTTTCTTTTTTTATGCTTTCTATCGCAACTCGAACCTCCGACGGAAGAATTTCAGCTGGTTTTTCTCCAGCAGGATATATCTGTCAGGGACGGGAATTTTGGAACGGAAAAGGTTGGTGTAGAACGTTTCCGTTATTAATTCCACATCATGGCGGAAAGTTTTGACGATCTCATCTTTTAATGAAGCCCAGATACTTTCAAAACTCCAGACCGCAGGAGTCTGCGGTGGGGAACGAACGCGCTATGGTCCTTTCTGGGTAGTGACGCGTTCATCACCACACCATGCGGATCCTTCGTTTCGCCTGTCTCTCGGCTAGTTCTATTCATGTCTACCTACTTGCACAATCCAAGTCGGATTATGTATGTTCAAGACAGTCAAGCTACTCCTACGAAATATCGGCAGACTAATTTGTCTCATCCGCCTAATTCCCTGTAAAAAGTCAACTCCCACGCACACCAAACTACTGTAAATCGCTCAACATATGGCATGTTCCAAATTTCGAGTCAATCTGCTCTACTATTTTGCTCTACTATTCACCACCGTATTTTCGCCAACCCAAATTTCTATTCAACCTGCCCTACTATTCCACTCTACTAATCACTACAGTGCTTTCTCCATATAGCAATAGAATGCTGCAACATAATATTAGTAAACAATTCCAGATGTCAACCAAAATACACAAGGCTACTCAAACCTCACATTGCAGAAAGACGCCACCACACAAACACCAATCAAAGCATTTCTCCACGCAGCATTCGAAATATTTGTCATAAAGTTATGACATACATAGACAACATTTTAATGTTCGCGAAGAATGTACTCCATATTCACCCCCCCCCCCCCCCCCCCCCCCCCCCCCCGGNCCCCCCCCCCCCCCCCCCCCCCACGAGAGTACAGGGAATGAATGTTCGGCCGAGAGTCAAACCGTTTGTGTCGCCATTGATGATATTCCTGGTACCTTGTGGAGCAGCATTTGTATCGCGATGGTGGCTTGTCTTGTACTATTGAATCGCCTCGTTTGAGTTGCGGTGCTGGTAGCTGGCTCGGTGTTGTCGGTTCCCGTTTGTGTTGCTGCGTGGAGAAATGCTTTGATTGGTCTTTGTATGGTGGCGTCTTTCTGTGATGCTCGTGGGGTTTGGGTATCGTTGTGTATTTTGGTTGACATCTGGGATTGTTTATTAATATTATGTTGCAGCATTGTATTGCTATATGGAGAAAGTACTGTAGTGAATAGTAGAGTAGAATAGTAGAGCAGATTGAGTAGAAATTTGGAACATGCCATATGTTGGGTGATTTACAGTAGTTTGGTGTGCGTGGGAGTTGACTTTTTACAGGGAATTAGGCGGATGAGACAAATTAGTCTGCCGATATTTCGTAGGAGTAGCTTGATTGTCTTGAACATACATAATCCGACTTGGATTGTGCAAGTAGGTAGACATGCGTAGGTGAGTACGAATATTATAATTAGAAGAATAGAGATAACAATAAGTGTTTTATAGTAATTCATGAATATGTCGGCTATGTGCCGGAAATCAGGCCATTGGAATTCAAAGTCCGTGTTTGCCTGTCCTTTCAGCCACGTGTCTAGTACACCGTTAGCGACGCTCATGATTTTTAGTAGGCCTCTTATTGCGAAAGTAGTAGGTGTGGATCCGCTTGTGACTGTACATTTTTCGTTGATTCTGGCGTGGCTGAAGCTAAATTGGAGTATTGAGGGTTGTCCATCGTTGTTGCACGGTATTGAGAAGGTCGATGAAGGGCATGCTATTTCTGCTTGGATAGGTCTTAATGATTTACATCGCACCTGTGCTTTTGATCCTTTGCGGCAGCGATGGCATCCTTGTAGTGCGGTATCGTCCACAGTACATATATCTTTATCTACTACGATACTGGTTTCGAGTTTATTCTAAATGTTGAGGATTATTTCTGCTGTTGTCATACTGAAGACTTTTGTAGTGATTTCCCCTTTTGGTTTTGTTGGAACGATATCGAAGAGAGGATTATCGGCAGCCTATTTTGCACGTTGTTTAACCATGATGCGATTTTTACATCTTCACATCTGCAATTAGTCTTTGTTTCAGCTGGATAGCAGATGTAATGGCTTTCCATAGAGCAGTTAAGGTTTTCCGCTGCAGCTTGGTTCGCGCATCTAAGAGGCCGTTATGTGTGAGTTCCAGATTGCTGTTCGCTTTCCGTCAGATATAAATAGTGTGTCCAGTTTTGGAATAGGTATCACTGTTATGGAGCTAAGTGTGAGCATGAAGAACTAGTATTTGAATGGAATGTTCGGTTGTAGCTGCATGACATAGGACTGCATTTTTCGCTGAATAGCGTTGAAGTATGTGATTTCCACTTTGGAAAATCCTTTGCAGCGATTGCAGTGGAAGATTTCGTAGATTGTTGAAAACGTTGGGGATAAGTAAATGCGGTAGAATAGACATCCAGAGTTCCAATGAAAACAATTGCAACCTGGACCTTCACAGGATTCAACGCAGGCTGTTATTCCTGAGTATTTATTTCCTATTGCAAGTTTTGGTATGAGACTTGTGGCATTTATTCCTGCGCACTTCTCCCCTTTACATGATCCTGTGTGTGGACATCGCTTGCTGTCGATGACATGGTGCTCGGTATCTGGAGTAAATAAGTCCTTTTCAGGTTTACACGTTAGTGTCAATGACTTCCACTTGATTCTTATTTCGTGTAGTGATGTTTCGTTGTGGAGTAGTTTAAAGCAGGCCTCTCTTGTGAAAGGACTGACTTTAGGACTTCGGAGAGTTGGACGTCGCAAAATTGGCCTCTCTGTTCTTGCCTGCAGAGTGTTGTTATATGGAAAAACAGATTTACCTGTTGGCAACCGTTACATGTGAGCGAGTGACATTGCGATCATTATTAGTTTTCTGAGTTTGATGTTGTGATGAGTGGAGCTATGCCTCCTGATTTTTTGATTTAAACCGGTGATTGCCAATCGTATCGCGTACCAAATAAAGCGAAATATTACTCGTATTGGTTTTCCGAGAGTGAGTGGTACGTATAGTAGTACGTAGCAGCCGATAACAATGCAATAAATAGCAATTGCTGATGCCAGTATTCGGGATTGAAAATTAGCTCTGCACATAGTACACAGCTGAGATGTTCGCAGAATGGTGACGGTGGACATGTTGTTATAATAATATCGATTGATTGATTATCAGCGAGTTTCCATTGGATTTTGTGCTCGTGAAGAATTACATGCGGTGGAAGTGTGACTATCTCTTAGGATTCTGGCGTTTCTAACATTTTACAGTAACCGTCTGCACATACCTGGTAAGGGGTGTTGCCAGGTGTATTCCTCCTTTGATGTACTTTATATGGCGGAAGTTGGTATGCCGGTTCGAATTTCCAGCTGAGCATTGTCCCAGAAGAGCTAATAGGGATAGAATGTTAAGGATCAGTGAAACAATTGGAGTTGTTGCTAATGAGGGATTGAGAAGTTTGTTCTAATGGATTCGTTGTTGGCGTCGTAAGTTGTATGTACCTGTCCGCCTTCTGGGTGTTGTTTCTGTGACTGCTGTTGTGTTGTTTCCTTCCACTGGTAATCCGTGTTGTCTAGTTGGTTGCGGAGGTGTTGCCTCGAGTTGCTGGTCGCTTTGTTTTTACTGTAATGAAGGTTCAACTAATTCCAATAGAGTTAAGAGATTGAGTGGTCGGCGAATTAGACCGTGTGATGGTAGTAGAATAACGGCTTTCCGTGCGATACCTTGTGAATTCTTGACGAGCTCCTTAATTCTGCCCATCTTCCACGAATATCGAAGGTGTGCCGGGTCGTTGATTAATACTAGATTGTCCTATTTAGGCGTATATTTCGAGCCTCATTGTGTAGACTTACTCTGTTGCTTTTCCCGCCATGATGTTAGGCAGTGAGATTTCCAAATTATCCAAAATTTTTCTATTAATCTGCAGGATGAATTTAAAGCCTTGATGATTTGTTCTTTTGTTCGTAGTACGACTTTCTCTTCTGACGATAGATAGGAGAGGTCGCATGTTTCGTTGGCCATCTCATCTAGTGCAGGAAAAAAAATTTCGAAGTCTTTTTGAAGGAAGTCGATAGGTCGAAGAGTTTCTTCTCGTGCGTATTGCGATTCTACGTATAACAGTGGCCTCGTATTAAGGAGTGATTCGAATTCTATTATTACTGTTGTTAACTTCTCCGTTGAGAGCTTTGCGGTTTTCAGAGTTTTAAATAAGGAGTGTTTTACTGATTTGATGAGCCTTTCGTAAAAGCGCCTTTGCCATGGGGCGAATGGAGTAATATATTTCCACTGTATTTCACGGTTCGCAACTGTATGTTTTACTTCTGGATCATTTCGTATGGATTTGAGGCCTTCATTGAGAATGGTTATGGTTTCCGCTAGTACAAATGTTGGCGCGATGTCACGTGTAATTGATGCGGGCGTTCCTCGTCTGGCGAACAATCGGCGTAGGAACATGAGGAATGAGGTAGTTGTGAGGTCGGAGACGATGTCAAGATGTATTATTCTCGTCACCATACACGTTATTATTGCTCCATAAGATTTACTTTCAGTGGAATGCGATTGAACAATTGTTACAGGACCAAAATAGTAGAAACCAGTGTGCTTGAAAGGTCGTGATTTGTGAACTCTATGCCTAGGTAAGTCTCTTTTTCTGGATATTTGTACGGTAGGTTGCTGAAGCGTTGACATGGTTCGCATCTTTTGAGGATTCGTGTTACTTGTGCACGTAGTTTTGGGATCCAGAATTGTTCTCGTACGATTGACAGTGTGTGGCTAATGCCTGGGTGTCTCTTTTCGTGACAATCCTCTGTGATTGCTTGTGCAAGCCTAGTATTCTGAAATACAAGCAAAAGGTTTTTGGCTTTTTTGCTTAAATCGCTGTTTCGTAGTCGTCCAAAACGTCGGTGCAAACCTTCCTTGTGTGGTTTGACGTTGAGATGCTTTATAGACTAGAGCATAGACGTGGTTACTGTCGACAACTGATGTTGTCTGACCAGTACTTTTCCAGCTATAGTAATCTCTTCGCCAAAGGTGTTGGGATCCAGGTTGTCTGTTGCACTTAGAAGTGTGGAAAGTTTGATACGGTGTTGTCTACGAATGTTCACCTTGGCAACTGAGATTTGAATGGAGCGCATAATTACTGCTACGATTCCTTTAACATTTGTCACAGAGTGTTTTCCCAATAGGGTAAAGATATCGTTTCCGTTCTCTTTGTCTGAATTGTTGTGTTCTGCAAAAAACAGTTGCTGTTCTTCGCAAGGAAATTCTTGGAATATCGCGCCTACTGGATTATTGTGAAGTTCTGGACTCTTTTCTAAAGATTCTTCGTTGTGTTTGAAAGTGTTGCAAATGATTTCCCAATTGTCTGGAGACTCTTGGAGAAAGGTGGTCCGATCCACCAGAAATGGTCGAGCAATTCCTTCTGGCTAAGACCACAGTCCGCTGCGTCATAACGTGATGGTACGTGACCGAAAAGTATTCGATAACCGTTCATTTGTATGTGGTCGACGAGTCTTTCGATTTCCAGTAGTCTGTTGAATATTCTGAGTTCAACGTTCTTTAGTTGTCCGCGCTTCATCTAGCTAAGTACGATCTCCGAGTTTTAAAGGATGAAAATTTCTTGAATTTCTAAGGTCCTTTGAAGTTGAGTGAGCACGGCGTTGGTTAATCTCATAGCTATAGTTACCGCATCTAGCTCCATTTTTGGTACGGTTGATGTAGATTTTAACGAAGGCAGTTCGCTTTTTGCCATGAGAAGATTGGTTGAATTTTCAGAGCGTAGATAAATGCAGGTGGTCAGAGCTTCAACTCTGGCGTCGGCAAAGATTACTAGAATATATTTTGCACTTTTTGTTCAAAGACAACGTGGCAGAGGTTTTCTGAAACCTTGCATTTCCGTGCATATGGCTACTCATTCGTCCTTACGGGAATCTGGTGGGACATGGTCCCAATTGTACTCGCCTTTCCATAGGCTGTGTAAGAATACCTTTGCTTTAGGAAGAAAAGGTGTTAAAAAGCCCATGGGGTCGTATACCGATGCTAATGTGCTAGCCACCGTTCACTTAGTGATACGATGATTTGTTCTTGTCATGCATGTTATCAGCAGACAGTCGGAGTCGGTTTTCCATGGTATTCCCAGTAGTTTCGGTAATTTGGTGTCCGCTTTATCCTCGGAGGGTATTTTTGCCATTAGGTCAATATTATTGGAAGCGAATTCGCGTAAATTCATGTTGAGGTCATTGAATATTTATTTTGTGCGTAGGTAGCTCTAAAATGCTTTTTCGAGGTCATCGAGGGCTACGACAAGGTTCTCCACGTATAAGATGTTTTTAACTTGCGTTACTAATTCTGCTTCTTCTTTATATTGATCAAGATAAAAATGTATTGTTCCGGCCGAAAGAAATGGTGATGTATTTAATCCGAAAATATCTCTGGTGAATCGTAAGGTTTTAATGTTGTTCGGAAATGGTGGTAGCCTGTAATCATGTAGCCAAAGGCATCGTGTGGCATCGCGATCATCCTCATGGAGTCGGACTTGCAGAAAGGCCTTTTCGATGTCTGATGTAATCGCGATTCGTCCGATTTTAAAGCGTAGAAGGTTTCCAAACAATTGTGAGAGGATCACTGGTCCTCTGTGTAAGACGTCGCTGAGTGACGGGCATCCCTTGTAGTGTGCTGATGCGTCATAAACTATTGTAATCTTAGTGGTGTTTTTATTGGGAGTTAAGACTGCTTGGTGAGGAATGTAATGAACTCGGGTGCTTTGTGGCCTTTCCTGTTCTTTGATTTCCTCTAGGATGTGCAGGCGGAGTTGTTCTCCGTATATGAGATTAAACCTATCGAGAAGATCTTTGTTGTTTTGTAGAGATTTCCAAACACTTATGGGTCTATTGAGTGCAATTACTCTATTATCAGGTAGTGATAGCTGTTCGTCTTTCCAAGGCAGACAAACGTAATATCTGTCTAACCTTTTCTTAATGGTTTTGTTGAAGGTTTGCCATACATGCTGATCTGTCAGTGTTTTTTCCATTTTAGCGGAGTTCGTGAATTCTTCCGTTTCAGCAGATTCGAGGGTCCAAAATTGTTCCTATTTGATTGCTTCGTTTTCGTCCGTTTCTGCATCCTCAATAAGGCAAGGATGGACCTGACATTCCAATGTCCAATGCTGATTACACTTATTCATTTCATTTTCATCGACTTGCACGTGTAGTGCCCAGTATTGATCCCATCTGTCTAGTTCATCTTTGAAATCCTGTATGGGCAATGTGTTTCCTTCTTCGCTGTGTTGTACTTGTAACAACACAATATCATTTTTTTTTTGTTGCGCAGGAAAACTTTTTAGTTGTCTTGTACATAAATGACCTAGACACGTTGGGATAAGATGTAACCCGGATGGTAGTTCAATGTGCGGTTTATCGTTTTTCATCAGGGTCCACAGTTAGTCGCATCCGAGTAGAATGGAAGGTTGGACCACGAGCCTGGCTTTACTTATCTCAATTTGGAGGTTGTTTTTTTTAACTATGAAGTCTATGTTTCTAGACAAATTGGTGGTCGTTTGAAAGGCTTCATTATCGCGTTATGTGTGAACAAGAATAACGATATTTGATGGCCGTCCGCGTCCCATACCTGTAACGGGACTTTTCGTGAAACGCGTTCTTGCACATTGTTTGAGCCGAATGTATTTAGTCGTAGCTTAATTTCTTCTATCGTCGGTAGATAGAGCTTTTGTGCAAGATTCTCGTCGATAAAGGATAACTCGGCTCCCATGTCTAGTAAGACGGAAACTTTCTCCAATTGTTTTGTGGTTAGGTTCATTATAGTCAATTCCCCTGTGGGTAGGAGGGTTGACTGCAGTTTTGGGCTGGATTTCGTCGAAATTTTGTCTTTGGCCGGTGTCTTTTGTCCGAAGTAGTTTATTTTTGACGTAGAAGTGAGCTTTTTATGCTTTTTCTTTTTGTGTTTACTGACGTTGGCTTCGTTTTTGGCGTTCGCATTCTTCGTAGGTTTCACGAACGTCTTCTCTTTTGGTGTTGAAAAGAAACAGCATGTGTGGCGGCGTTTCTGGCACTTACGACATGACGACCCGTTGCACTGAACTGTGTTGTGGGATGAGAAGGGGCAAATATGACATAGCTTGCTATTTTGAAGACACTGGTATCTTCTTTGTGGTGTTTTGTAATTACTGCAATAGAAAGGCTTATGGTCGCCTTTACAATACAAGCACAAGAGCTTTATTGTCGGCGGCTTCCAATAATTGACTTTATTATCGAAACATACTGTATCTGGAGGAGGTGTTGAGGTAGACTGGCGACATACCAGTTCCTCGCTGGTTATAACCTCTTCGAAATATTTTCGAAGCTGCTGCATTGTGACGGGTTCGTTGGGAGAAGTGATCTTTTTGTGAAGAACCCGACCGGAAATTTCGAAAGCACCTTTCGATACGTGGACTGATTGTCGACATTTTCTCCTTTTGGCACTAATTGGTCTATGATGGCTTCCTTGTCTTCCCATAGTATGCATTGCTCTTGTATGGTCGATGAGTGAAGGGAGATTTTGAGCATCTTTCTAAGGAGCTGGCGAATAAATTCTTCAGAATTACTGTACTTATTAGTAAGAAATTCTATGAAAATTCTATGACTTTTGCATAGTTTTGTCCAGTGAGTTGGAAATTCTTCATCGATTGTAGAGGTTTCCCCTTTAAGGAGCTAAGCAGGTAGTTAAATTTTCGTAGCTTGGAGAGATTTTGCGAATTTACGTTTAAGTTGAAAAGCTCCCAAAAATTATCCCAGTCCCATATATCGCCATTGAATGTTGCTGGATTGGGATTGTGGGTAGCTCCAAATTTTTTAGGCGACCGCAGTGACGGCGGCTTCATCTTAGCCACTGTTCGTAGTGGAGAGTTTGTGGGACGTATTGAGAAGCTCAGCATGTGCCTTAAAGCCATGGATCCGAGCATGAAGGAGTACAAGGTATTCGAAAGTATTGCCAATCGCTTCTTCAGCGGTACTCGAGTACTGTGCGAACTTTCCTTCGGTATTCGGTAACGTTGGGTGCGTCTTTTCGAATATGGTAGCGAGTTCATCTAGTGCGTGTTGAATCTTTGTGGTCATGTTTTCTACGACTGCAACTCCTTATTCTAACTGCTATTGGCTTGTGTGAATAACGGTGGGCATTATCTCATCTTGCAGGTCTTGAATACTGATTTCTTCTAACTGCGCATCTTTGAATCAGGTTAGGACTTTTTGCATTTGGTTAGTATACCGCGTAAGTATCCGTCTGTAACTTTCCAGTGATAGGTTGGACTTGATTGAAGAATTAACGTACTTGGTTGTGACCTCCTTGACCTAATGGATCCTTCCAAGCGGCCAATGCACCAAAATTTGTTAGGACGGCTCGTTGATATAGGAATACCAAGTAGTTAAGACTATTCGGTCAGAATTAGCTGCTCGCCTTTGTGTACGCCACGCGGGACTTGTAAGTAGCAGTCACAATGACGGACACCTTTTGGGCTGGGCAGAGTCAGGTTACAGTAGGTGGAGTCGGGCTACAGTATGCGGAAAGACGGGTGCTGAAAACATTTTTCAAGCGTTTCAATCTGATAAGGCGATAGTCAAAGCATAGGACTGTAACTGCAGATGTTTTTCATGAGATAACCGCCAACGAAATGCTAGACATATGTTTATCGGATCGTCATGAAGTCACCGGAAACAGTGTTCGAAATATAACTTCCATGATGCTGAGATACTTGCAAAACGCCGAACCGCAGGTGTCTGCAGTGGTGAACGAAGGCGCTATTGTCCTTCCCGGGAATAGCGGGGAATAGTGCGTTTACCACCACGCCATGCGAGTACTTCGTTTCGCATGTCTCTGAGCTAGTTCTATCGATCTTTTGCCATCAGCAACCACCCGTCAGCGGGATTGATCTGGAGAGCCGAAATCGGCGACGAACCCAGTTAAGCTGAGGATGCAGTTATAATTACAATTTTAACTAATTATTTACTGCCTACTCTTTTTAGCGGCAGGCAGACACCTGCGGTCCGCAGTTTTGCAAACATCTCAGCATCATTGAGAGTTATATTTCGCAATGTATACCCTGCCGTTAGAAAGAGTAGGCAGTAAATAATAAGTTAAAATTGTGATCTCATCTTCGTATATGAGGGCTGACAGAGGAACATTATAATCACACAAGCCCCGACGGCATTTCCGCAGACTGCTTTTTTTCTCTACTGCTTCCAGTATTTTCTTCTACCTTTACCGATGTAGTCCTTGCTGCGAAGCTCTTCTGTAGCTGGAATTTACTTCTAGCCGTGTTAAACGTGTTGCAGTAGGATCAAGCTCCGGCTTCCTTCTTTTTTCGAACAACTCCTTAGTAGTTGTGGAGATGCGATCCGACCTTCTTGCTTGAGGAACTGGGACGAATTCAGCACAACTTTTCAATCCTTCGACAATCAGCTTCTACTCTTCGATCGGGTCTTCTTTTATCGGCCGATCGTTTGGAGAGATATTCGTTCAGAGTCTTCTCGTAGTATACAGCTTGACTTCTTCCTCATGGTCGATGACTTGAAATCTTTTCCAGCCTATGGCTTAATCAAATCTTTGCGCGAAGAAGGCGGTTATCGGAACCAGTACACAATGACAGGACTACCAATGTGTCAAGTGGTCACCATCTTTTGTTTGCCAAATTGTGGTGGATATTCACATGAGTCATGCCGTTAGGAGCCTCCCATGTCCAGCGGCAGCTTTCCACCCTCTGGTAAAACGAGTTTCCATAAAAAAGACGTACTACAAACAGGAAGCCTGCGAGACGGTTTCCATTCCCATTACTTTCTCTAATCTAAAATTTCCGATCCTGTATTTGCTGTCTTTGACCTTTCCTATTCTAACTTTGAAGTCTTTCATAACAAATTTATGGTATGCTTTGTCATTGCGGATGACTTCTTCTAAATGATAGTAAAACGCATTTAATTCGTACTCATCAGCTGCGTCGGTCGATGAGTAGCAGCTGATGATTGTGATCTTCTTATGACGCATCAGTTGAAGACGAAGGACGGCTATGCGAGGGGAAACGACCTCGTATGAGTCGACGACATGGACAGTGGACGGATGAACGACAAAGCCTGCGCCACCGTCATTTCGCGACGGGACTTCTTCTCCACCGATGACAAGGGCACTGCTGTTAAATCCGCATGTGTCGGTCTTCCCTAATTTTCTTTCCTGCAGTGCGACCACATAGAATTGGTGTGTGATCTGAAGCTTCAAAAAGGGCATGGAGATCGGCGTCTGTGAGAGTGTTCTGGCATTATACGTGCTGAGTAAGAAATCATCTTCATGGTGTATCATGCGTGTGTTCGTCAGATTCCGTTCTATTGACGTCCTGCGCATCGCGCGGTTTTGTGGCCTCTCACTGGTCGTCTCACCGCCTGAAGTCATAGACGGGAGCACCCGGTGTACAGCGCATTGAGGTTGGTCTATTGCTGGCCGTATAACTTGGTCCTTCCTGGAGTGTTCACTTAACCTTGCAAGTGCGTATACAGGTCTTCACCAGGAAGTGGTTCTAAGGGAGGTGTGTTTTCGGCGACGAATCCTTCGCTCCTTCTTCCTAATAGTTGAATCGGAGACAATGTTAAAACCGAAGTTAGAAACGAACGTGGGTATGAAGAAATAACCGACCGCTCAAGGACGATGTAGAATCCGAATCCGAAACGATCATCAGATAAGCCAATTATGTTCTGCGTCAGCGTTTTCCGATAACGGTGCCTTCTCAAACGAAAACTAAATCAAAACGTAGAAGTGAACAAATCTCCCTTTTTGGTAGTTTCCAAAGCTTCTTCTTGAATTTTGTTGCCTTCTGTATTTCTGTAAAAGAAGAACCTAGAGCTTCGGAGGCGGCAGTCCTATAAACCCTATAAATTTGGGGCAACACCGCGATTTATTAGTTATAAACTTTTATCACATCTGATCCAGCTGACTGCGTAATTAATGGCTGAAGGAGACATCAGTGAAATTTCGTAATACTCTCTGACGTCACAACTGAGTGTGCTCTGATGGTTCTCCGCCACTTCTGTGCGTTGGACTTCGTAGCCAATGAAAAAAATTCAGTGGATTTAATTCCACATTGTTAAACTGCCATAGGTTCTTAGAGGTGTCTTAGAAAAATCGACGTCAGATTCACAGTTGTTGTTTTCGACCCTTGGATAAGTATTCGTTCTTGCCGGAGTCCATATTGGAGTTATTCTGTTTCTGTAAATGGAACTTAATATTATTATTGTTATTATTATTATTATTATTAATTACATGACCTAAAATCACATTGTGTGGATTGCAGCACGTGTACCCGATTTCTTCCCTAGCATCCATCACCCATGGTGGTTTCCGAGGTTTCTGATGTGGATTTCACCACTGTTTGAGGATTTTTCGTCCTCGTAAAGAGTATCAGTGAATCATGAAAAAGTCGCTGCTCCCTAGAATCCTGATGTTGCAATGCTAGGGCGTTTCAACGTGAATTAGAGAAAGTAAGCCGTGGGCAGACTAATGTGGCACCGATTTCCCTGGTTGCGAGAGATGGGAAGCTTCCTGGGCCTAGGTCAGCGCGTGATGGAACTGGGCCTGGGTAGGTTGGGCCACCTTCGTAATGAATAGCTGAAACACTACTATTCCGCTTGCAGCACCCTAAAACGAAATGGCCTATCATGGGAGACTTGTGAGTTGATTCAAACGTCTTGAAAGAGAGAAGATTTTTCTCTTCCACAGTGATTCTTTTCTGGACCATCATTACTTCGGAAAACAACGACTACTAGCATTTGTTCGCCTTCAGGGTGCTTCACCTTCGAACTACGTCGATATTCGTCTTGTCATATGTGAGCGAGTTCAACTGCGAACATAATTTCACTCTCACCATGCTTTTCACATGGGAAGCCTTCCTTGAACACTAATTGGGCAGATGTGAGGGCTGTTTTGTGACCCTTTATCAATGCTCTTCAAACTTGCGTAGCCAATTATGCTATTTATATCTCCGCAGCTCTGACCGCTGTTCACCAAACGAAAACGTTCCCATTTCTGCGTTATGTCAAGATTTTGTTGTCGATCTATAGCTTACGAAATCTTTTGGACTGATTTAATACTCACTTATCTGTTATCTTGAAAGCCGTCGCTTCACACTCGTTATTTTCCACAGGGCCTACAATGGATCGACGATGTGGACTGCTTCCGAAATTTTTAGTGGAAAGGTCAATTAAAAAATGAAAAATAAAGATATAAATCGTAAAACGTCGAGAATGGAAAGCAAGAATACAATAGAGCGTAGGAATAATATAATAAAACCGAATAAGATTAGAATAGGTTTAATGCACGTAGGAAAACGAAAACCGGACGTACATATTTACTTACTCGATACTTTAATGGCCCGTCATAACTGGGTTGTGCGGGCCCCAGCAGAAGTTCCACTTTTTCGAAGCTTTTCTGCTTTTGCTCTTGTGGTTTCCCGGAGTTCCGAGGTCAATGTGGTCAAAGTCTTCCCCAGGTCGTTTCCACCACAGGCAGTCGCCGGCCTTGTGGAACAGAGAGAGATTTGCCACCATTCGACTAGTTTGATACCAGGACGGTGTGAATCTTGGTATTGGTTTATTATTAGGTAGGCTTCCTGATGTAAAATCCGGACTCCTTCTCAGCGTGGAAGGCTCTGCGGGGGGATGAATCACCCCACAGTACGTCACAGCACGACACCCAGGAACACCTCCCGGCCACGTTGAAGCGGTGAGCCATTGGAAGGGGACGCATGTAAATGAAAGTCTTGTGGTATTTACTCATGGGATCAGAATCTGATCTTGATTACATAACCACAGTTCACACTATCGGAGCTTCTTGCTATGAGTTTAGCCTTTACTAAAATGAACTTATGTACAAAGTGGATATTAGACATCAGTTGGTGCAAGTTGAGAAAATGAGTGTACATTCTTGCTTACTGTCGGTTTCTTGATTGTTTAACTGAGTTTCACTATTCCTTTCTATGTACGTTTCCCTGTTTCCAGAGCTTTAAGTACATTGC